CTAGTTAGCCTGTCAGTAATATTTTGTTAATTTTTTTCTGCCACTTATCCGAGTGAATCGCAAGTAGGTACCCAAAAACATAACCGCCTAAACCAAATATTTATCTCCCGCTCAGACAGCAACGTAACCATAGGGGTTTTAAAAAATGGGTTAGGGTTAGGGGTTAGGGTTGCAGACCCCCCCAATATATATTTCACGGCTACGCCTCTGGGTGTTGTTATCTTGCCAATAAACATACCGGATCCTAATATCTAATAATAAGACGAAATGTCCGCCATTTTAAAATCAGTACTCGAGTCGAGCGCCATTTGTAATGAACAAAGATAAACACATCCCAGAAGACAATGCAAAAGTAATTAAAAATGGCTGAGTCACAAATGACAAAGACATATTTAAAAAACAAACAAAAATAAAACAGACTAAATAGACGCCTGCTGCATAGGCCTCTTCATCGACATAATGGATTAGAAATTACAATAAAATATCTAAAAATTGAATGTAAATCATTTTATAGTCACTGGTGTTACATTTATATGTGCTTTTACTAGACCCGTTTTTGTTGAAAGAATAAAGCTGTATGCCCTTTAAAGCAGCATAATGCAAGATTAGATAATGAGCTGACAGCTCTGGCTATACTAGTTCAAAAATAGATAATTTTAAAGGGGATATGCTAATAATTTCAGTCAAATTACTTCACTCTAAGCCCAGAAATCCATTATCCATTTTTATGGTTAGTCATCCACAATCGTTGAACAGCGGATCTGATTCAAATCTGTGGAAAATCAGACCCATCAGATGGCAACAAGAGTTGATTATGGTCTTGTTTGGTTAATAAATGTTTAACTAATAGTTTATACAAGATTTCAGGCCTAAAGTAAGACCTGCAATAGACAGATTTAGCTCTTGCATAATGTATGTCAAAATCTTGCCCTTGTACTATTGTAGCACCATGGGTCTTAATTGAGCCCAATGACGTCGACAACCCACCCTTATATGGTGGAATGGAATTTTACTGAAGAATATTCTCATGAGATATCTGTTAACATGTTGTTGACATAGAACCAGTTATGTTATGGCTCTACAAGTGTTTTTATATCACAATATTGCATTCAAACCCTAAGTTGATTTAAGTATTTTAAGTACATATCACATATTATGCGAATATGTTATTTCTCAAGTAAAAATTCTACTAAAAGTATTACACAATGCCACATTCAGCTCTTTTCTTTATCTCAATTATATGTTTAATGAAAATGAAATGAAATGAAATGGAGTTTAACGTTCTACTGTTCTGCTCCTAACCTGGGCTAATGAAGACGGGCATACGCCATACAGTGTGCTATGAGGGAAATTTTGCCCGGACAGCGGCACTATGGCCTACTTTTATATCGAATTCCAACTGCCAAGGGATCTTTTACGTGCATTCCAATGTATACACGGGACCTCGGTTTTTCGTCTCATCCGAAGGACTAGACAGCTATCCTTGTCAGGCCCTCCGTCCTGCATCACTGACAAGGGGGAACCACGCCGGAAAATCTGGATGAACTTTCTCGGCCAATGCAGGGATCGAACACCCGACCTCCAGGCTAGCTCGCTAGCGTCTTACCCACTTAGCCACGTGATCCCCATATGTTTAATGAATCCATACAATATATATTCTTCAAAAAAAGTAGGGGATATTCAGAAAAAATACAAAACTGTGGAAATGCACTGCTATTTTTATTAGAGGTAACCAGTGTATGTTAATAACAGGCCAATTGCCTACACATGAACATAAACAGTTCATATGGGCGGCTTATTGGACGGGCCCCATTTCACTCGCAAAAAGATACACTGTCAAAAGTGAAAATGAACGTTTTTGATTTTTGTCTTATTAATGAGTAATTGCTCCACCAATCCTCAGACATTCGGCAATTCGTCGTGGCATGCTCCTAATCAACCACTCAATCACGATTTGGGGCAATCTGGCCCACTCCTCTTGCAGTGCCATGGCCAATTCTTGCATTGTCGATTGACGTTGAAGTCAATGAACACGTCTCCAGATCATGTCCCAGACATGCTCTATAGGTGAAAGGTCAGGACTCATGGCTGGCCAAGGCATATGGACAATATGGGGACGCGGTGGGCACGGGCATTATCATCTTGAAAGATGAAACGTCAACCTGCACGTTGAGCAAAGGGCAGAATTATCGGTGCCAGGATGTGGTCACAGTAGTACACGCCTGTGACCCTTCCTTGAATAATATGCAAGTCCGTTCTGCCAGTCATGGTGTTTCCTCCCCACACCATAACAGACCCATGCCCGAATCTGTCATGCTGTCTGACGTTATCATCAGCATTGTGTGTTTGTTGGTACCGGTTCCACAGTCTGCTGATCACAGATTGTGACACATTAAGCATGTTGGCTACTGCTCGCTGTGTAGATCCCATTTGAAGCATGCCAATAGCACGTAGATGTTTATCATGTTGAAGACGTCTCATTGCAAATTAAACGTAACACACTAAAGCAAAGATACGCTAAACAATAAATCTTATGCAAGAACTGACAGAAAAGCAGATACAGATAGGATAAACCAGCAAGCGGCAGTTTTCATCAACCCTTCCTTGAAGTGTCAAATTTGACAATGAACCCCTCCCACGTGTATGGCGCTATGGCGCTACTCCTTGTCAGGTACAACTGGGGAGTCAAAACCACGGCAGTAGACTCAATGACAGACCTTATGATATAGCGCGCACGCGCTAACCATTCAGCCCTCCCACCCCCACTCCTGGTTAGCAAGCAAGCAAGGGTTTTACCACATTGAGCCATCATGGTTTTCTCCACTGCTAAAGAACAAATTATTGAAATAATATTGTACCATGTTAGTCCGGAAGTGCCCTAGTCTGTTGAGTGGATGTTGAACCCCATATCTCTCTCTTCTTATTTTTGGGAAATTGGAAATAATATGAGTTATCTTCCTTCACACACTATTTTGATAGCCAGGTTTACACCAGTTGACTTCAAGATACATTATGTTTGAGGATATAGCGTAGATTGTTCATTATCATAGCATTGTTACTTGACAAGCAAGACTTAGCCTTGATTGTCTATTATATTGTTAAAATTTTAAATCCATTTAAATCTCAGCCATCTGATAGTCTAGAGAGTTGATTATATAGGCTTGTCATGTCAATACATGTCTAATCAATGAAGACTGTACATTTTGCACAATGATGGGATTTACCCATGAATTGGTTGAAATTGTGCTCTTGATAGATTTTGTATAACTGTTGCTAAGGAAACAGCGTGATGTACTGTTTGAGCAGCATTTATTGATTGTAAATTTCAATTGAAGACAATTACTGAATTCTATTCTGAAATAACAGACAACAATTATAGAAACATAGCTCCGATTAAATTCCGTAATTGCCTTAAATGTGATAAAATTAGTTCTCAGTGCCATAAACAAACACTTCCTGTTAAAAAGTTGCATATTTAAGATATAAAGCAAAGACATAGGTGAAGGGGACAGGGGCGGATCTATCCGTCATTTCCTTGCTTCTGTAGCTATTCCAAGAGCTATTTGGCTGATATTTTCGTCTAAGTCAACATTCGGAAATCGTTGAAAAAAAGCCTTAAAATCAAGCAAAAGAGCCAGTTGAACATGCGACTCGAAAATTGTCAAGGTGAGCGAGGCATTATGATGGAGAAAGACGAATATATTCCCTAGCCACTTCACTATTTAAGCCTTGTAACTTGTACTGTGTACTGTCCACACATGAAACAATGCTACATCAAGTTGCACTCATGCGCGTCGGTGATGGGCACGAGTGTTTACACCACTGATTCCACAAGATGCTATCACTGATGTCTGTCTATAGTCACTCTATAGGATTAGGGCACCGTCAGCTAAACAACAAGAATTCGTTTGAAAGTGGAAGCATTAATTAGACCAGACTGGTGTGTTTGTGTCGATGGTTTGAGTCATTTGGGATCCCTGCAAAGGGTTGGGAACGGACATATACATATTTGGGTCTGAGAAAAGGCACTTTCAGCAGTAAAAAAGGGCACTGTCGAAAATTAGGGGGGAGGCCCCCCTCCCCCCTGGAGACACAACTACTGATCATGCCATCAAAATATAATCCCAATAATCTTCATCTTTGCTTGACTTTAGGAGTTTTATTTTTATTTTATTTTTTTTTATCTATGAAGGATCATGCTCTCTCTTCCCTACTAAAAGAATGCCAATGATTTTCAGGAAAGAGTTGATCTAATATTTCAAAAGAAAAATATGAATACTATTTCCCTTCACATAAAATTTTACTGACTTGTGCTCTGGTATAAATGAAATGGGGTTTAATGTCCTGCTTTTCTGCTCTGACTGAACTAATGAACACAGCCATATGCAATAAACTGTGCTGTATGGGAAATTTTGCCTGGGCAGCAGCACTATGGTCTACTCCAGTGATTCACAACCTTCTTTTGCTAATGGCACACCATGGAACACATGAAATAATAGCCGCACACCTGGCTAAATATATATGAAAAACATTTGAATTTTGCAAAAAAAACCCATGGTAAGTCAAACGGAATACAACCATAGACAGAGGCTAGTCATAGGCACATAGAATGACTCAAACTAAATAAAGAAAAACACAGCTGTGAACATACCAGTAGACACCAGTTAATACTCAATTTGGATCACGTGGTTTTTCACATTTTCTTAGTGTGCCGTTCAAAATTTCGCGGCACACTTAGGAAGATCTCATGGCACACTGGTTGAGAATCACTGGTCTACTCTTATATCAAATTCCAACTGTCAAGGGTTCTTTTACATGCAAGCCAATGTGTACAAGCAACTTCTATTTTTCAACCCATCCGAACAACTAGACAACTGTCCTTCTCAGGCCCTCCGTCCTGCACCACTGACAAGGGGAAAGCCCATGCCTGAAAATCCTGAGTAGCTTTCTTGGCCAACACTGGGAGTGAACTTGAGACAAAATATAAAAACAAATTAAACTATTGAGAAACATTTTATTCAGAAAAGTTAGACAAACAAGAATAGAGAAACAATCATTTTCGTAGTTAAGTTATGTTATTTATTACCTGTTGAGCAAGTCATACACAAAAATTTATTTGAATAAAATACACACTTGAAAGTTGAATGGAAATGTTCAAGAGTATGAATTGTCCGCTTTCAGACTTACTTGTGTTATAGAAAACTATTGTTACTTTGAAAAGTCGAATGAAATAAAATTGAACTTAACGTCTTGTTTTTCTTCACCAAGTGGGTTAATGAAGACGCTTCAAAGGCCATGGGTGACATCTTTCATTTTTGTCATACATCTTATACATTTTGATATTTTTATTGATTATTTTCAAACATATGTAGTCTGCTGCATGTAAAAGTAATTTCTAAAAAAAAAACTTTTGTTTTTCTAAATAGAATTATATTTTTATTGATTGTTTTCAAACATTTGTAGTCTGCTGCATGTAAAAGTAATTTCTAAAAAAACCCAAAAAACTTTTGTTTTTCTAAATAGAATTTTCTTTTTTTTTGTATTGATAAACTATGAAAGTAAAGAATTCATAATGTTAAATAATAATCTATGATCTATTGAAAAGAAAAGGAATCCATTTTGTCAGTAAAATATAGATAATGATCTAATTAGTAAATCAAAAAAATAAAATAAAATTATTATCAAGTACAAAACAGTTAAACATATAACATTATAATAAAAAGGAGGAATTGTAACAATAATATAAACATTTTTACAAAATACCATATTCAACTCAATAAGAACTCTACACTAAATATTTTATCAATAGACCGTGTGTATAAACGGGGCGTAAATAGCTCAGGGGTGCGGTAAAATTATGGACAATGTATGTCTATTTTCTTAATGGTCGACAATTTGTTCACCCCCTGCGCCCCCGCCCCCCTAGTTATCGGCCTGTGTAGAAAACTAAAGCCTGATTCTCACCTGTACTTCATCGGCTGTAATATCTATCCATTGAAATGAAATGGGGTTTAACATCCTACTTGATCAAGCAAAACCAATTTTCATCGATATATCAGGGAACCGCACTTATAAATTATCTTTTTGACATTTATAATAGCACACAACTTTTTCTGTTGCAAGTGGGAAAAAGTCAAGTAAAACTGACAAAATTCATGATTAATCAAACGATGACTTGCCCTGACATTCGAAGAAAAGTGTGAAGAGAATGGTTGTTTATTGGGTTGAATATGGTAATAATCATTATATAACTAATATCTAATAATGCAAATCTACTAGATGTAGTGAGTTTCATACAATTAATGTCAATCCCTGACCATCGACTATCAGTCACAGACCTTTGGTATTTGTTTTGGTTCAAAACATTTTTTTGTATATTAATAGAATAGATATCATCTAAAACAATGCATTTCTATTATTTTTTATGTTAGTTTATTTCTTTTAAGAATTCTAAAAGATTATTTGATTATAACTATACCTTAAAGGCTCAATACCACTCTTGTTGTAACTGAATAATATGTCCCAATCTTTATTCTGGTCAACAAATTGTACTATTTTAGAATATTTCAATTAATTGATGATACAAATTTCATCTTAACACACCTTATTTAAAAATTTTGAAAAATTCAACATAATGGTTTGAAACGTCTAACATAAACCTTTTCAAATGGAACTTCGATTTAAAAACATTTTCGAACCCTCTGGACAAGTAAAATAGGATGTAATGGATAATTTATACAACAGGTAGGACACTTAAACATCTAGTACTTAGATAGAGATATTATTTATTTTCTGGAACTTTCAAGCCAGCAAGAGTGTAATTGTCCCTTTAAAACATCTACTCATATGTTAAAGATTACATTTTAAATTAACCGTAACTGAAAGACGATACACATAAATTTATATAAAGTTATATATTTTTTTTTACAGCAAACCGTTTATAATAAATATAAAACAAACACAGAATTTCCTAACTTTGAATTAAAAATAGAATCAGATCAGTGGATGACAAGAATGGAGTAAGACCGAAAATAATGCTGCAAATTATTAAGTGGTTCTTAAGAAGTTTATCGTAATCTCTGCTCGGTCAGTGTTTGAATTTCGATTAATTAAGTGAGATGTAAACTGAAATGGGGTTTCTTCACCAACCTACCGACTACTGGTATTTTGATTTTAAACTATCGGGGCTTCTTTAAATTGGGTTGGTTTTTTCCGTATCATCCGATCAAGTAGACATTTTTTCCTCAATAATTACGTCTGTCTAGGGTTCATATAAATATGTTGATTGATAATATTGAGGTTACTGTATGCAATAAACGAGGGCGTTTTTTTTGCAGGGGTCTTCTCTTGTCATCCATTGATCTTCGGCATTATGCAAAAACATCAACATAACAGATTTGATGATATTATGATACAAAGATTAAAAATTCAAAAATATGTATAGAGGCAATGAAACATTTTTATAATACAGCAGGGATATAGACAAACTCCAAAAAAAAAAAAAAAGCAGATTACTTCATTAAACAGTCCTACTTTGAAACTTGGTTGAAAATCTAAATATTTTATTTCAGAAATTTTATGCTAAATTTCTACATCCCTGAAAACAAATATGACAACATTAAACTTTTACAATGGAAAACTGAACAAGGCATCTTTTCATCAAAAACATTTAACGTTCTCCAAATTAATTTGTCTTCATGAAATTTCCTTGCTTATTAATAATGGAAAAAAAAAATATGATCCAGAATTCCCAATCGATGTTTACATGTGAAACCAGGACTTTCACTTCAAAATTTTTCCAGTCTGTCAAGTGTTAATGAATTTGTTTGCCTCAGATTACATAGATAGTTTTTCAAAGTATTTGACATTGTTATCATTATCCAAGGTTTTTTTTTTCACACAAACTATAAATTTAGCTATGTTTTAAAGTTAAATTCTTTGAAATTCTAATTTTATGGTCTGCACTTTGTCTGACAATTAAGTTCTTCTCCTGACAGTCAATTTCAGTGCTGGTCTGTCAAGACTGGCAAATATGTTTAAAACAAGAGACCTGGTGTACAAGACTGGCAAATATGTTTAAAACAAGAGACCTGGTGTAAACTCTCAATTTATTTTTATAATATTGACAACTGTTTGTATTGTAAGTGTCTTCAATGCATGAATTAAATTTAAGGCAAGGTAAGCTGCTATGCAGCACAGTCGAAACAGTTGAAGACGAGTTCTGATTGGTTAATATTTTCGTATCTTGAAACTTAAACCACCATATAATTCAATTTGTACTTTGTATCTAATATAATCGCCGTCGGCTGTATTTTTGTCAAATTATAAACAAATTTATTTTAAAATTGTATGCGCTAAATATTAACCAATGAGAAAACACATCGACACCTGAAACTACCTCGGATGTTTAGAACGATGTTTTCTGACCGCTGCCTTTATGCATGAAAGTGTTGAGTAAGTCAATAGGCAAAGGGAAAATGATCGTGGAATTTTTCTCCGCTGATATTGAGTTCAACGTTTGAAGATAACGAAGTTGAAGGGCAGCAGGCGATTCAGACATTACATCGGCTGCTTCTTTCAAGGCCTTGGAGGCTTTCTGTTCTCCTTCAGCTGCAATCACCTAAAATATACAAATAAATTTGTTTTATTATTTCAATTGTGAGAGAGACAGAGAGAACTGGGGTTTAATATCCACTCGACACAAACTAGGGCATTTCGGGACTAACATATGGTTCAATTTTATTTCAATAATTTGCTTGCGTGTAGGGGTCTTTAATTAGCAGTGGAAGGAAACCAGAGGACCCGGAGAAAACCCACGAGGTTGGACAGGCGACCTTACTTCTTTTCACGTACAACCGGGGAATCGAAACCACGCCAGCTGACTCAATGACAGACCTTATGATACAGCGCGCACATGCTAAACATTTGGCCACCCAATCCCCCGATCTCAATTTTAATTGTATACAATACAATGTAATATGTATTCAAAAGCTGATTCCTGTTGTGTTGTTTTTTTCTCGGAACTCTAAGACAAGATCATACATAGTAAACAGACTTCAGACAATGGCGTCAAAGGTTTGGTGATGTCCAGGGCCTGTGTCAAGTATAGGGCCTGGTACTGAGATACTGAGAAAGGAAGACATTTTAAATTTAGTTAAATCAGACGATATAAAATCTTATTCAAATTACGCAGGACAGCTTGTACAACAACAAACAACTGAGATTTGATTTCACTCTACGATTGGATAACCGGGGCTGTTGCCCTGTCACGCCACCAACTTTGGATTAGACTTCATCAGCTGTCGAGTAACTTATTAATATACCTCAAATAGAATAATCTGTAAAGCGGATTAGATAATGTTTGGCACCTGCGTTACATGACTCAATTTACCAAGTTAATCCTCCGATTTAATTCTTTAAAAAAAAAATATCCTGATTCTCAGACAATTTGATGTTGGAAGGTGGTTTGTATTTTATTTTTATTTTGTCAAAGGATACGTACATGGCTTCGATTTCAGTGAAACTCATAGGCGTGTTTTGACTATATCCTACGTATGACAGGTGTTCTAAATCATACAGATCATAGGAGATGCAGGCGTGTTTTGACTTTATCCTACGTATCACAGGTGATCAATGTCAGAGGTAGCATAGGAGAGAGAAAGAGAGAGAGAGAGAGAGAGAGAGGGGGGGGGGGTCTAACATCCACTCAAAACAAACTAGGTTATTTCGGAACTAACATATGGTTCAATTTTATTTCAATAATTCGCTTGTGCGTAGGGGGCTTTAGCAGTGAGAGGAAATCGGAGGACCCAAAGAAAACCTATGAGGTTAACCAGGCTACCATACTGCTTGTCACGTACATCCGAGGAATCGAAATCACGCCAGTTGACTCAATGACAGAACTTATGATACAGTGCGCAACGTGGCCATCCAACCCCCCAGGTATCACAGCCAACCCCCCACATATCATAGGAGATGCAGGCATATGTTGACTATATCCTACGTATATTCTACAGTGAATGTCAAATATTGAACCATTTTTGGACTCATAATGATATTCCTTTTAGTGATTCAACTTTCTTAATTGGCAAGAGATTAACAATCCATCATACATATGACATTCAAAGACTTTAATATGCATATACATTCCCAAAGGGTTTGACGAAGAAGAATTTGACCAAATGCCGATACATTTACTTCATTGCTAATGTGATTTTGAAATTTCCCAGGAGATCAAAACTTTCATGTTTTCATACCCTGCAAATATTGAGTCACACTTTTTTTTTAAAATTTATGATTGATATCTTAACAGGATTGGGGAACAGATTTAGCCTTCGTAGAATCACTCTGCACAAAGTATCCACGGTTGAGTAGTTAAGAGAAATAATTCTTACCTTTGCTCTAGCTTCCCTGGATGCCTCGGCTTCAGCAGCCATAGCTCTTTGTAACTGTACTGGCAGACGAACATCTTTACTGTAAAATAAATAAATGTCAAAAAGTTAAACATGCATTATGCAAGAGCAAAATCTGCTTATTACAAGCCTTTCTTTAGGCCTGAAATGTTATCTAAATTATCAATTAGACATTAATTAACTTATCCAGACCATAATAAACTCTCGATGTCAAGGCTAGCCTTCGATGTTGGCTGGATTAGATTCCTAACGGCCGTTGATAATTTAATAAAAAAAAAGTGGATAATCGAGACTAAGCTGTTTATATTAATGATTTTAGTAATGATGACCAAGACTATGCCAAAATTTCACCCGCTTCTTTCTCGGCTCATAGTGGATCAATTTGACTGAAATTTTCAGCAAATTACCTTTACACTATCTAGTACTATTATAGCGAGAACTGCCATCTCGTTATCTTATCTCCCATAATGTATCTTTAATGGGGGCCTTAATCTGGGAGAAATCTGGTAGACTAAGAAACAATCCAAATTATTTACAAGGTGTGTCAAAGATTCGTTACCTAGAAAACCAGTTAGATTAAAAATTAGCAAGAGCTAAATCTGCCTATTGCAGGTCTTTCTTTAGGCCTGAAATGTTATCTAAATTATTAATTAGACATTAATTAACTTATCCAGACCATAATCAACTCTCGATGGCATCGCTAGTCTGCGATGTTTATTGGATTAGGTTCCGATTTGCTGTTCAACTTCCATTTATAACTTAATTATGAAATGGATAATCCAGACTATGTTTTTTATCCTTCTGACTTTAGTAATGATGATCGAGGCTAGGCGGAAGATTTAATCACTAAAATCTTGGTTCTTAGTGAATCAATTTGACTGAAATTTTCAGCAAATTCCCTTACAGTATCTAGTTTTTAACTATAATAGAGAAAACTGCCAGCTTTGATGGTTTAACATCAAAGACATTAGGAGCTTGGGGATTGAAGTGTTAAGAACATTTTCTATTTTAATGTATATTCCTTGTTTACAATTTTAAAAGACATTGAAATTCAGGTTGGGTTTTTGTTTTTAAGATCCAGGAAGTCAATCCATAGGGTTATGCCAGTATTTAAAATGGGCGTTAGGTTTGTATAAATTTCATCATTCAAGAAGCCAGTCCATGACATTAAGCCATATTTCAGACTAGTCTGCTTTTTAATTAAAGCGTTAGAGAGATTGAGACGAAGGTTTATGTTTTGATCTAATGGAATCCAGTACAATTGACTCCCGAGACATTTACTACTATGATGTCAACCCCTTGCTTAGGCTATATATATATATAACAGATTTGGTTTTCAATTAAAGAATTATGGACTCTGAGATTGGCGTTAGGTTTTATGTTTGAACATCCAAGAACCCAGTGCCATAGACTCCCAAGACATTAGGGGCTTGGTGTTCGAAGTGTTAAGTACATATTAATACCATAATGTATATAGTCCTTACTTAAACATACATTATGCAAGAGCTAAATCTGCCTATTGCAGGTTTTTCTTTAGGTCTGAAATGTCATATAACTCTCAATGCCATCTTAGGTGTCCGATTTTCATTTGATTTGAATCCGATCTGCTGTTTAACGCTCATTGATGATTAAATGCAAAAAATGGATAATCAAGACTTTGTTTTTATCGTTCCGACTTTAGTGATGATGATTGAGGCTAGGCCTAAAATTAAATCGCTAATATCTTGGTTCAGAGTGAAGTAATTTGACTGAAATGTTCAGCATATTTCCTTTTCATTATCTAGTTTTTAACTATTATAGCGAGAACTGTCAGCTCTTTATCTAATCTTCCATAATGACCCATTAAGCCATATTTCAGAACAGTTTGCTTTTCAATCACAGCGTTTTGTAAATTGTCCTGATACACAATAAAATGTTTGTCTGCTTCTTCAGCAATTACTCTTACTATTAAAACATGTTTTGTCCCCGTCTGATTCTATATTAGGCGTTCAGCAGGAAATGATTATTGTTTGACAGATGTGTAATTATTATTATTATGCAATATGATTGGATAACCGCAAAAAAAACCATCTGAACTAATGAGAAAAATATCCAATGACCTCCGTCGATATCTATTTAGTGGAATAAGTCGTCTGGGGTAAGATGGAGATGAAGCCAATAAATCATTCTCGTTTCTGAACTAGCGTCAACTCGATGCTATAAATAGATCTATCTTCAGTAACATGTAATCCAGACGAGACCAGTGTGTGCTAATATCAATAAGCTATCAGCAATTTCTATAAGTGTTCATTAGAAGTTCCTATCACTCTCTTGTTCCTAGAGAATTGACCATTTATAAAGGCTGTAAACTTATATCTCTGGGACATATTTAATAAATGTGTATCAATTAAAGAAGCAAATATCCCCTTCAAAACTTCGTCTTGTTCTTCCTTTTACTTCCAATTTTTGGAATATTTTATCGAAATGAAATTTGGTTTGCTCTGCACCAACTAATTAAGACGAGAATATGCGGGAAATAACCACAATAAAAAATTCACATTTTTTTCTTTTACTTCAAATTTTTGGAATATTTTACCGAAATGAAATGGGGTTTGCTCAGCATCAACCAACTAATCAAGACGAGCATAAGCATTGCAGTGTGCTATGAGGGAAATAATCACATTAAAAAATTCTCATTTTTTCTTTTACTTCAAATTTTTTTAATATTTTACCGACATGAAATGAAACGAGGTTTAACATTCTGCAAGAACGGTGCTAATAACGACAAGCATAGGGATTGCAGTGTCTATGAGGGGAATTTTTGTCAAATTTACTTTAATGGTAGGCCTACTAGCTTGCATATACTGTTTATCATCCTATAATGACAATGTTTAACTTTAAGCTATATTTAGTAACAGAATACATTAAAATAAAACACCACCAAATAGTTTTGTGTCAGACATTTACTGATGTTTAATTGTTTCTTCATGATTCTGAAACAGATATGAATTCATCCTTGGATGCTGGCTGCGCATATCATTCTATCAAATAATGTTACCAGGCACTTTGCCAATCATCAAGATGGCATGATGATTTCACAGAAATTCACATGTTTATAGTGTTCCTCTTTTTTTTGAGTTGTCTAAAGATCTCAAACCTGACATGAATAGCGGGAAATACTGGACACGTGATGATTTTATAGAAATCCACAAGCTTTATAGTGTATCCTTTTTTTAAGTTGTCTAATTATCTCAAGTGAGATATTGTATAATATATTGATACAACACTCTGGCTGATGCCCTTGTGCAGTATAAGACAGAAAGAAGTGGGGTTTAAAGTCCGCTTGATACAAACTAGGTCATTTTGGGACTAACACATGTTTCAACTTTAATTCAATAATTTGTTTGCGTGTAAGGGTTTTTAGCAGTGGGAGGAAACTGGAGAACCCGAAGAAAACCCGGTAGGTTGGACAGCTACTCCTTGTCACGTACAAGCGGGGAATCAAAACCACACCACTTGACTCAATGACAGACCATTTGATTCAAAGTGCACGCATTAACCATCCGACCACCCCCACCCGTGCACTATGAATTCATTACTTAATGACCTTTAAGCCACACATGCATGCTAGCCACTGTACTTGATAATTAACAGTGTTGGCAGATAAATTTCCAGTCTGGATTCCCCTTGTCAGTGGTGCAGGACAGAGAATCAGACATGAAATGAAGAGTCTAGTTGTTCGTAAGGGCAAAAGAAAAGTCCACCCGAGCTCATAAAATAACCCTTGGCAGTTTGAATTTGATAGAAGAGAAGGCGGAAGCATTACACCACAGATAATATATTGTTAACAAAAGAATCAGGTAGAAACAGACCTCTCATTATTATACAGTACTCTAGTAATTTAGCTCTTACATAATGTATCTTTAAACAAAGAATCAGGTGGAATTATAAAGAATCAGGTAGAGCTCTCTTATTCCAGTACCTTGGTATTTATCTTCTACAGATTGGCTTGTGTTTTATTTCAAAGATATACAGTATGTAACTGTTGATGTTAATTAAACAGCTGATTAGACTTCAACGCACTACAGACATGTGTTATCGACATTTATTATTCAATTAATAGTTTCATGTGAGCAACTGGAAAATTGTTGATTCCTATCCAAAACTGAGATTTTTTTGTTTCAAAAAATGTCTTTTTTGACAGATGCGTTCCTAATAACAAAAATTTAAATGACATAACTAGTTCATCGATGTTATTATTTGTATGCAATACTGTAACGGAGATAGAGGCTAAATTGGGGTTGACTTCCACTAGACAAAAAATAGGGCATTTTGAGACTGACATAATTCTATTTTATTTCAATAAATCGTTTGCATATGGCCATAGGGGTCTTTTAGTAGTGGGAAGAAACCGATGGGGCCAGATAAAAACTTATGAGGTTGGACACACGATCCAACTCCTTGTCACATCCTATAATAGAGAGAGATAGAGAAATGGAGTTTATCTTCCACTTGACACAAACTAGATCATTTCGAGACTGACATACGGGTCGATTTTATTTCAATAATTCTTTTGCACGGTCCAACTCCTTGTTATGTACATCTCTTCTTTGAGATATAGTCCAAGATTTAACATACCCTGGCAATATATTTAGAGTTTTTCAATCGATTCTCTTTTCTCGCGTAAAGATTTGAGATAAACATGAGTTTGGTGTAATTCTCTAGGGAATAATGAATTCATTGATTTAAACAAAAGGTTAATAAAATGGGAGGAATGTGAAGTAAATCATGTACAGTTGATCAAAAAATCACAAGGAGAAATCAGGAAATCAGAGAGAGTTTAACTTAACTCCACTCCACACAAACTAGGTAATTGCAGGACTAACATAAGGTTCAATTTTATTTCAATAATTCACTTGCTCGTGGGGATCTTTAGCAGTGGGCGAAAACCGGAGAAATCATTGATATAAACAGATACTACATAAGCTTATATCAAGACCTAATTGGATTGACTTGTCACTAAATAAACACTATCAAGTTAAATACTGATTATGTTATAGGTATATAGTTTAAAGTAGCTAAGTCTCTAACTCAATATCATCCAAAATCTTCAACATTGAAAACACGAATTATTTGTCAATTTAAATCAACATTGATGCTGTGATCTTACCGGAAAAAGATGGGCTTCTGATATCAAATATTTAAGACAAAATAAACATTTTACCATAATGCGTTTCAGCCCCAGTTCTAGCAAGGGACTCGAGGAACGAGGCTAGACATATTGCACCAAACCAAACAGCGTATGTAGACTGGAATAGCCAGGCGCTAGAAATTTGCATTCGATTGAGACTGCTTGCTTATTTCGCGGAACATAACTGATTTGAAATTAGAGTAAAAACGGAAACCATTGAATGTATATCAGTTTATATACATTCATATTACAGTATTATATGAGTTCCGACCCACTTGTGTCAATTTCTAGGTTCCAAATGTTAGCGATTTAGCTCCTTTAATACTGTTTTTTTTCTATTGGTTGTGGGAGATACAGTGTTGGACTAGAGAGAGAAGTGGGGTCTGTTCATGGTACAATTTTATTTCAATACTTTGCTGGCACGTAGGGGTCTTTAGCAGTGGGAGGAAACCGGAGGACCTGGAATAAAACCCCCAGTGTTGGACCAGAAAGTTCCTTTAAATTTTTCAGCTTGGTTTCCCATTGTCAACAGTGCTAAAGGGAGGGCTTGGCAAGGAAAAGTATCTAGTAATTCGAATGGGATCAAAAAACAAGGTTCTGAGCACCGATTTCTCTCATAGCACACTGCATGGCATATCCATCATGTCTTCAGTAGTGGAAAAATAGGACATTAAACCACATCTCATTTCATTTTCATATGATTTAAAGGGGCTAAATCACTAACATTTGGGACCTAGAAATTGACAAAAGTGGGTCGCAACGCATACAATAATGTAATATGAATGTATTCAATGTTTTCCGTTTTTACTCCAATTTCAAATCAGTTATGTTCGGCGAAATAAGCCAGCAGTCTCAAGCGAGTGCAAATTTCTAGCGTCTGGTTATTCCAGTCTACATACGCCGTTTGATTTGGTGCAATGTGTCTAGCCTTGTCTCTCGAGTCTCTTGATACATCTGGGACTGAAGCGCATTATGGTACACGATTCGTGTACCAATGGTAAAATGTTTATTTTGTCTTAAATATTGGATATCAAAAGCCCATCTTTTTCCGGTAAGATCACAACATGAATATTGATTTAATTTGACAAATAATTCGTGTTTTCAATGTTGAAGATTTTGGATGATATTAAGTTAGAGACTTAGCTACTTTAATATATCATTAATTTATTGTTAGAATGAAAGATTATAGAAATGCTTTAATTACATGATACTGTTATAACAAGATATTGTATGTCCATATACTCTACTCTAAATATATAACCATGATATACATAATAAAGCCCAGGCATTTGTATTCGCAACAGCTTCATAATAAAAATATTGTTAAGAGAGATTTTAGAATCTATCCACCAATATTTTCTAACATTTACCAGTATGTATTATATGATGTCTTTCAGTAAATACAATACAACTCATGTGATTGGCAGACAAGTTCTGGGGCCTGTTTCACAAAATTTTAACTAAGACAAAATCCAAATTTTCGTAATTTGATTGGATAATATTAGATTGATTTTAGTGCTTATCCAATCAAAATTGAAGCATCTACTAAAATTTGGATGTTATCTTTAGTTAAGGTTTTGAGAAACAGGACCTTGGTGTCTAGAGTCGATCATATCATTTAAAGCATATATACACAAGACAGTATAACGAGCAGCGTTTCTGACTAGGATTCATTGATATCTTTATTTAATAAGGACAGGAGAATCCCAGACGAAACTTCAATTTTAGAGATTACTGAGCATTGCTCGATTAAGACTACATAATAATCCCAGTTGAAATGAGTGGCGTTTCCGACTAGGATTCATTGACATCCTTGCTCGATAAAGAATCCCTATTGCTCGGTAATAAACAATTCAATAGATTACTGAGTACTGCTCGATAAATATTAGAGAAGCCTAGTCAAAACATTGCTCAGTAGTAAACAGTAATTGTATTCCATCGAATCATGTCTGGTGTATTTCAAGTTCAATTACAAATCTGCCACTAAAGCAATTTAAAACAAACAGTTGTAGAAGTTGTAAGAATTTTGAAGGTTGTACAAATGCCTGCGGTTTATTGAAGCAATAAGCAATCATACACAAAAATCTAAAGATATCTGGCTCAATATATCACTAATCTCCATCTTATATTTCCATGATTTTATAAAATCGTTAAAATGCAAATGGCTTCCCTGTCTCACTAATGCAAATAAAAATAAATCATAAAGAGATCAGATAATACATGTAGTCTGTCGAGTGTTCACCAGAAATTGTGGATGAAAGACAGCCGGCAGGATCACATTTCAACGTGCAACATGAGAAAACCCCTATAACATAAGTAACTCGGAGTAATGATTTTTGGGCAAGGTACAATCAATTTCCAAGTAATGATTTTTTTAACAAAGTATGGTGAATTTCCAGGTAATATTAACAAGAAATGTGAATCGGGGTGATGACTTTTGGGCAAGGTACAGAGTATTTCTAAGTAGGATTTAAAACAAAAGTGTCTCAGAGTCAGAGTAATGATTTTTGAGCAATGTACAGCAGTTTTCCAGGTACGATCAAAAGCAAAAGTGTCTGAAAGAGTAATGATTTTTGATTAAAAGTGTCAGAGCAACATACAGTAGAGATTTCCAGTGTGTCAGAGTAATGATTTTTTTTAGCAAGGTACAGTAGATTTCTAGGTACGATCAAACGCAAACTGTCTCAGAGTAATGATTTTTTTTTAGCAAGGTACCGCAGATTTCCAGGTATGATTAAAAGTGTCTCAGGGCAATGATTTTTTTTTAGCAAAGTACAGTTGATTTCCAGGTACGATCAAAAGCAAAAGTGTCTAAGAGAAATGATTTTTGATTAAAAGTGTATCAGAGTAATGATTTTTTTTTAGCAAAGTACAGTGGATTTCCAGGTACGTTCAAAGCAAAATTGTCTCAGAGAAATGATTTTTTAGCAACGTATGTCAGATTTCCAGGTATGATTAAAAGTGTCTGAGAATAATGATTACTGAGCAAGGTACGGTAGATTTCCAGGTATGATTTTTAAAAAACAAAAGACAAACACATAATACTCACACTTCTACTCTTTCCACTTTAACACCCCACGGATCGGTCGCTTCATCAAGGGACGACTAAAGGGAATATAAATAGCAAAACATAAAAAAACTACGGAAGCATGATAAATACATGCTTGAATATATCCAATGGGTTAAGTCAACAGAATATGGCATGGATATAATGATTAAAAAAAAAATACTCCCCAAAAGTTCATAATGTAATGTTTCAAAATTGTTAATGTTGGAGTAAAAGACGGGTATTTCACAAGAATTATTGTGAAATTCTTCAAATAGAAAATTGTTTCTCTTCTGGTAGTAGTCACATTAAATGCAATGTAACTATTCATAAATTCTAAGTCAGTATTCGAAATATTCAATTACGAGATCAATTTTTGGATTCTTTTTGAATTTTGAGATTTCTAGAAATCTACATATTTTCCTTATGTTTCAAAATTGTTAATGTTGGACTAAAAGACGGGTATTTCACAAGTACTGAAAAAATGTGAAATTCTTCAAACAGAAAATTGTTTCTCTTCTGGTAGTAGTCACATTAAATGCAATGTAACTATTCATAAATTCTAAGTCAGTATTCGAAATATTCAATTACGAGATCAATTTTTGGATTCTTTTTAAATTTTGAGATTTCTAGAAATCTACATATTTTCCTTATGTTTCAAAATTGTTAATGTTGGACTAAAAGACGGGTATTTCACAAGAATTATTGTGAAATTCTTCAAATAGAAAATTGTTTCTCTTCTGGTAGTAGTCACATTAAATGCAATGTAACTATTCATAAATTCTAAGTCAGTATTCGAAATATTCAATTACGAGATCAATTTTTGGATTCTTTTTGAATTTTGAGATTTCTAGAAATCTACATATTTTCCTTATGTTTCAAAATTGTTAATGTTGGACTAAAAGACGGGTATTTCACAAGTACTGAAAAAATGTGAAATTCTTCAAACAGAAAATTGTTTCTCTTCTGGTAGTAGTCACATTAAATGCAATGTAACTATTCATAAATTCTAAGTCAGTATTCGAAATATTCAATTACGAGATCAATTTTTGGATTCTTTTTAAATTTTGAGATTTCTAGAAATCTACATATTTTCCTTATGTTTCAAAATTGTTAATGTTGGACTAAAAGACGGGTATTTCACAAGTACTGAAAAAAATGTGAAATTCTTCAAACAGAAAATTGTTTCTCTTCTTGTAGTAGTCACATTAAATGCTATGTAACTATTCATAAATTCTAAGTCAGTATTCGAAATATTCAATTACGAGATCAATTTTTGGATTCTTTTTGAATTTTGAGATTTCTAGAAATCTACACATTTTCCTTATGTTTAATTTTCCTTATAACAAGTTGATTTCAATCAATCAATATAATAAATATTTCCTGTTGGAGAAAAAAATCGATTAATTAGTTTTAACTGACCCAAAATACATGTAACAAGAATTTGTAAAATAATTTTGTATTAAAAAAAAAATGCACAATTTACACGCTCTATCAAACACCTTGTCTATGTAATGTGATGTAATGTCAAATAATATTTCAGTTTATAAGGTAACTATAGAACATGAAATTTTAGGGAGTTGATGACGACACTCAACACAATGCAAAACTACCACGTCCACATGTTCACTAAAACACAATGAAATGGCAGCAAAATTAGTTTACATGTATGCTATATGCGGGACTTATTGGTTGCTAGGTGATGATGTTCATGTAAAAGAAAGATGGCTGAAACATAACATGCACAAACTGGGGAGTTATCATACTCAAAATGAGGCTGTGACGTGACATGCTTCATCCTTTACTTACATCTCGACCCGTTCAACACGAATTCCCCAAGGATCAGTACAAACGTCTAGACAGGACTGTAAAAAGTAGGGATTTCATAACTAATGTTAAGGTGCTCAGATCATCAGAAAACAAATGATCGACTACAGAAACTAATTATAAGGTTTGAAGGGGTAAGTAAACTAAGATATTTGAGAACATGGGTCTAAAACAATGTGATAAGTTATCGTGCAGTTATTTCTTCTGGAACAGTGGTTCCTAAAGCCGAAGGTATTTTGCTTTCTGTTTAAAGAGAGAGAGAGAGAGAGAGAGAGAGAGAGAGAGAGAGAGAGATGGGGTTTAATGTCCACTCAACACAAACTAGATCATTTTGGGACTAACATATGACTCATTGTATTTCAATAACATATGGTTCAATAGTATTTTAACAATTTGTTAGAGCATAGAGGTCTTTTGCAGTGGGAGGAAACCAGAGAGGACACAGAAAATACACCTACAAGTGGGGAATCAAAGCCACACCACTTGACTCAATGACAGACCTTATGATCCAACACACATGCATTAACCAATCGGCCACCCAAACCCCCACTTTCTGTATAAATGATTATTGATCAAATATATTCTCGAAGGGAGTGCGAGAGAGAGAGAGAAATGGGGTTTAACGTCCACTTGACACAAACTAGGTGATTTCGGGACTAATATATGGTTTAATATTATTTCAGTAATTCTCTTGCACGTAGGGGTCTTTAGCAGTGGGAGGACACTGGAGGACCCGGGGAAAACCCACGGGGTTGGACAGGCGACCCTACTCCTTGTCACGTACAACCGGGGATTTGAAACCATGCCAGTTGACTCAATGACAGGCCTTATGATACAGCGCGCACGTGCTAACCATTCAGCCATCCAACCCCCCTCGAAGGCATTGCAATCCCCACCTTTTTTTGTTAACAATCTATAATTTGGGGGTGAGGGGGTGGGATGGATTTTGACAACCCTGGAGTGATAGCTCATGAATGTCTTTGAACCACTGTTCCAGAACATTTAACAAATTTTTGTTGTGCACACATTTGGGATTTGCATTAATTGAAATAAACATGTAACATCATCAACAGTTATTTCTCTTTTTAGACATTGTTTACTGAACTTTCAAATTTATTTACCTAAGATGTGTGCACAGCTCTTAGCATGACATCACACACTATTGAAATATTACAAGATCGATCATAGTTTCATGTTTCGTATCTGTTTGAAAACACTGAGAACACTTGATACCACTTATCATTTGAGGAGTTTACATAATATTAACACAAGGACCCCACCTCCATGCCAGAATAATATTCATATCATCGGTGAAGTGTCAAAAGGGTGTATCTCGGGAAATTAGTCAAATACACTTTTTTGCATTTTTAAAATCTCCCTATTAATATGCACCATTCTGTTTAAGCTGTTTATCTCTATGCCAATTAGAACAGTTCTGGGTATCATGTGTCCAAATGTTGTATCTTGATTTGTGGAAATTTTAAAATGCCAAAGGTTCTATTTCTTTATCTTTAGAAATTCTTAGATGTACACCCTTACTAGTCTTATTATTCATTATTTACCTTCACGAAGTCCTAATATTACGAAATCTAAAATAGCCCTTAAAGTATTTACGACTTTAGCTGATTAATGGAGCGTAACACACTAGCTTTAATGTTCATGAATAGACATCTAGAAATTTCTGTGTAAACGTGAAGGATTTTTGAAACCTGAGATCAAATGTGCTCAGTAAAAAAGAGTACTGTCCTAAAAATTCTCCAACTATATCAAAATTACTTATCTAAATTCTAAGAATAGCTGCTGACAATATTAACCAAACCAAGATTATAACAGTCCACAATATAAACCAACTCCATGTTTCAGAATGGCTGCTCACAGCCTGCTCACAGCCCCTGGTTTTAAGAATGGCTGCACCTAATTTCAACTAGCCTCTGATTTTAAGAATGGCTGCTCTCTCAATTTCAACTAGCCTCTGATTTTAAGAATAGCTGCTCTCAATTTCAACTAGCCTCTGATTTTAAGTCTAAATGGGCTTTGGTGTTACATTAACAACTAATGTAAAATAATCACTGATCAGTAATAATGCGTAAAAACAAAATTTAACTATGACACTCACCTGCATATTATGACTGATAGATTCTCTTTCCGAGAGAATTTCTGCCAAGTTTTTGGTACCAAGAACATTTCGGAGAGTGGTAGCTGCCAGTAATCTTGTTGATCTGTTGGCATCCTCTACGTTTGTAATGGACATGGTGGCATTCTGGACACGATAATAAACCACAGCATCAACAGCTACTGTTACTGAATCTCTTGTCAATACCTGGAAAGAAAAAAACCCAACAACTTAAAATATGTCATTATATTTTGGAAAAAAACACGTAGGCATGCATATACCAGAGCATTAGGTCCTAGGTCCAAGCTACATGTACATGACCAGCTACCTAAGATTGAGACATGTCCCAGTAGGCCAAAACTACATGTGACAGCTCTAGTTAATTGACAGACATGTCACAGTAGGTCCTAGCTATGAGTATGAGACAGCTCTGGTTAATCAATACACAAGTCACAGTGGGAACTAGCTATGTGACACGCCCCATTAAGCCCAAACTACATGTGACAGACAAGTCACAGTAGGTCCTAGCTATGAGACAGCTCTGGTAATCAATACACAGGTAACAGTAGATCATAGCTATGTGACAGCTCTGGTTAATTGATAGATATGACCAGTAGACATCAACTGATTGACCAACTCTGGTTAATTAAGACACAATCCACAGCAGACATTAATATGTGACTAGTTCTGGCTAAATGAGACCCAGTTTGCCTCATTTAACATCCACTCGACACAAACTAGGTCATTTCGGGACTAACATATGGCTCAATTTTATTTCAATAATTCGCTTGCGCATAGGGGTCTTGAGCAGTGGTAGGGAAACCGGAGGACTAGGAGAAAACCCACGAGGTTTGATAGGCAACCCTATTCCTTGTCACGTACAACCAGGGTATCGAACCACGCCAGTTGACTCAATGACAGGCTTTATGATACAACGCCCACATGCTAACCATTCGGCCATCCAACCCCCGTAAACACAACTTAATGGACATAAATGCTTGCACCTTACACTCCTAGAGCAATATTTACTTTATGTTATGGGAGGTATTGAACTTAATTGTATATCAGTTTTTCCTAATATATCTACATTCACAACTGCCCTGAATTAATATAAGTCAAGAAAACAAATCATTTCTTATTGGCTGACTGCCATAAAAGAAAATTATTCAAATATTTTTAGCTCGAGATAATAAAAATCCATGCACTTCAATATAAGAAACAAGATTCCTAATACATTCCTTTCGATTAAAAGTGATAATACTGATGATATCCACTATATTCATAGGATTCTCTTGATTTTATCAATAAATTCCATATGGTCTGACAGTTCTCAACTTGTGCCAAATCCTACAGTTCTTGTTTCGGTCACATCTGACTGACTGGGAGCCAATTTGACTGGTTGGAGAATTACATGTCAGTCACTTTATATCCAGTAAAATTCAAAAACTGATTTATAAATTGTGATTTCTAAAATGTTATCGGTTTGTTATTATTTTCTGGTTAATCCGAGATAGAAAAATACGCAAGAAAATGATTAAAATAATATGTCTAGACTGTTTAATGCCAAAATCGGTTTTATTTGAGACATTTCTTAAACTTAAAGGTATGTTCATCCAGATAGTTTATAGCTTGTAGGTTTCATAGCTGCACTACTGACATTGTAAGAAAATCACCTCTTCCACTTACTCATAGCCATAGCCTATTATTGTACATTGTTTCAATGGCATTTAGAAATTGAACTGGAGTATATATATACAGGTCACAATTCTATGGAATACAATTACTGCTTATTACTGAGCGACGTTTCGACTAGGCTTCTCAATATACATGTACACATCAATACTTAGTTAATGCTGTCCAACCAAGGATACCCATACCCACGAGGTTGGACAGGCGACCCTACTCCTTGTCACGTACAACCAGGGAATCGAAACCACACCAGTTAACTCAATGACAGACCTTATGATACAACTCGAAGGCGCTAACCATTTGGCCATCCCCCCCACCCATTACTGAAGGTAATGGACCAGTTTAGACTAGAATGTTAAAAACAACCTTAAGAACACATTACTGCTAATAATTATTTGTCAATTTCATCATTGACTACTGCACATACAAAAAAAAGTAGCACCATTAAATTCCTTATAAAAGAATGGTTATCATGAATGTATTTTAATATTTATAAACGAAATGAAGTGGTTTAATGTCCTACTGTTATGCTCTGATTGGACTAATGAAGATGGGCATACATGTATGCCATACAGTGTGCTATAACTAGTATAAGGTAAATGGTTCCCCAAAAACCTTCTAAAAAGATAACTAAATATCTTTAAAACGCGGAGATACCGCCTTTCAATATTTATTTTAATTTTAATAGTTTCATAACATGTAACTGGCATTGTATCAAGGTTTTAACATACTGATAAATAGATAATTAGCTAGAAATTTATTAGCTAGGTTTTTAATTAGTTTTTAAATTAAACATCATGTCAGTTGGCTAATTGACTGAAGTGAAAGAGATTAGTAACACAATTTCTTGTATGTCATCGATATGGATTTAAATACAAGCCAAAGCTTTTATCAGATTTGTGTAATTTATACATTACAAAATGAGTAATAAATATGGCCTGCGTAAAGATAGGTTGCCAGGCAATGAAACATTCGCTCACAGCAGCTAAATCTTCCCGGCATTCAACAAGAGTTGTCGCATATTTTTACTTTTTCAGTAATGAAACATTCATAATACACTAAAATCTGATTAAGAGTTACAACACATGAAGTAATTATCAGAAAATCATTAGAATTTGTTTGGCTTTTATAAAGTTCTGCCCCATGCTAACGTTTAGTATATAAAATATTTAATATCATGGATTTAGCTGTTCAAGTTATCAAAATTCATTGAAAATCAACATACTTGTTCGTCTCAACACTTTAAACTATGCGTATCAATCTAAAGTCAATTGGATGATAACTTTAGCCCCTAGAGCGTCACAAGTTTTTTCAAAGTGATCAAGGGCCATAACTTTGGCAGTAATTATCAGAAATTGTTGAAAATCAATAGGCTTCTTCGTTGCATGACCTCAAACACTGCGTACAAATTTAAAGTCAATCGGATATTAACTTTAGCCTCTAGAGCGTCCACAAGCAGATAGGGGCGCTGACAATATACGACCACATTTTCAATGTGGCCGTATAAAAATAAATAAATAAAACATGGGTTCAGTGAACAGTCGCACATTTGGCATTCTATGCAAACAATATCAACAAGCCAATAACACCTATCAATGTACCTCTTTTAAATCTGAATGAATCCAATAGGGGAGATTATCTACTGGTAATATATTGTTAAAGGGCCAAACTCTATTAATTTTGTGTTAAAAACCATTGAAATCCTCTACCTTAGGGCCAAGCAACTAACTCATTATAAGTGATACGTTTTCAATCAACTGAAACCTGTCAGTCTTCATCTGGAAATGGAGATTGATGTTCCAAGCTGAATTATACAGTGTCTGGATAAAACCAGACTTTTATTTTATAAAATTGACATGTAGGTGTAATTTACCTTTCGTTATCAAATACAGCACGTGGGTCATGCACTGTAAAGAAACGGCAACAGATTATCAGGTCACCCAACAAAAAAATTGACCCGGGTTACGTGTCCGGATAAGCAGTTTTGACGTTCATGTCCAAATGACTCAATATTTTGAGCTGAAATTTTGAGACAAGATAAATACACCATTCCTCTGTATTTTGGCACTTAAAGTTCATAAGTACACAGACTTTTATTTCCGAGACTCTGTTAAAATTTGGGATGGTCCCTTCAAGTGAGGAGTGCAGGTACATTATAGCATAGAGTACTCCATGAAAAATTAGATAAACTTATTATAAGAAAAAAGCATGACGGCAACTGGCAACTTCAAAGCAGAATCACAATGTTTGCTTCTTGATTATATAATATGGCTGGTTTTACCGGTATAAATATATAATAATTTACCTCTTGGGGTGGTACATCAAAAGAAACCGTTCTTAAATCAACCTTCGTATAAGAGTCTATACATGGTATAACAAAAAACAGACCTGAAAAAAAAAATCATAAAACATGAAACATTTATTTTAAAACTTGATATACTGGTAATATGGAGATAGCTTTTACACATGTATTATATAAAGACAATAATAGCAGGATTTGGCTATGAAAGAATTGTAAAAGTTTAATTAGTGTCGGCATCCAAATAGATGATAATTAACATCTCATGAATGATGTAATGATTAACTAATTAAGAACACAGTAATTATTTTGTGATAGGTCAGTGGTTTACATCTCTTTCAGACTGGTGGTGGAGGATCCAAGTAAAATTAATTCTACCACCCTCCCCACACAAATAAGAGGTATATGATAATTGCCATATTGTGATAAATCAGTACATTAGTGCCTCCCAAATAGTGTAAAATGAATGTTTGGGATGATTTTCTGAAAAACTATCCCAACACATTTTGGTTTTCCCCTTGTCAGTGATGCAGGACGGAGGGTCTGACAAGGACAGTTGTCTAGTTGTTCGGATGGGACGAAAAACTAAGGTCCCGTGTAAACATTGGCGCACACATAAAAAAATAACTTGACAGTAGGCCATAGTGCCGCTGTCTGGGCAAAATTTCCCTCCTAGCACACTGTATGACGTATGCCTGTTTTCATTAGCCCAGTTCGAAGCAGAACAGCAGGACGTTAAACCCCATTTCATTTAATTTCATTTCCCAATATATTCAACTATAGTACGGTCTATAAGATAAACACCACCAGCGTTCAATTATTCAACAAAATATAAGAACAGATAACACACTCTGTGAAAGTGAACAACAAGCCCTATGATTATGAATGAAAAATTGTCCAATGCCAGCACTGTTCCCAATGGAGATATGGTGAGAGTGAAATCAAGTGAAATCAGGAGCCCAAGTTTAAAATTCCTCATTTATTGTTTTGTCTGAAATTGGACAGATGTAAAATATGGTACTGTACCTGGTCCTCTAGCACCTCCTGCTAATAACCGACCCAATCTGAACATAACAGCTCTTTCATATTCTTGTACAACCTGTAAATAAAAATATAATAAGTTAATAAACGTCTTACTTCAACCAGGCTAATTAGACCTGGAAATATTGTACCTGACAATACAACAGGTGAGAGAGAGTGAGAAATGGGGTTTAACATCCACTTGACACAAACTAGGTCATTTTGGGACAAACACATGGTTCAATCTTATTTCAATAATTTCCTTGCGCGTAGGGGTCTTTAGCAGTGGGAGGAAACCGGAGGACCAGGAGAAAACCCACGAGGTTGGACAGGCAACCCTCCTTGTCACGTTGACTCAATGACAGATCTTATGATACAGCATATACATGCTAACCATTCGGCATTCCAACCCCACACAACAGGCACTACTATTACTAATCTTAGTACCTAACATTTTTGCTGTACCTGTTAGTACCTGACATTTTGAATTATGTGACAAACCTACACATAAAAGATTGATAATAAGACACTATACTGGACATGATAGATCACACAGTATGGTACAAGTCAAATGTTGTTTGGACAGTTGTGCTATGTAAAACTCTCAATTTTGGATATTTAATTTTAATGCATTGTCAATGATTTTCACAGACCACAGTTTTTCGTCTCATTAGAACAACTATAATGCATTTCTTGTCAGGACTTCTGTCCTGCACCACAGACAATTGGAACTCAGGCTAAAAAAATCCTAAGGACGTTTTTCATTCAAAATGGCACTGCGAGGTTGATCACTTTAACATTATTTGATAATAATGAGCTGTTATGTTTTTTAGTTTGTGATCTCAAGAATGAGGTCTTTTTCAAAATTTAAAGATTTATACATACAAGAGCTAAATCTTATGCAAGAGCTAAATCTGTCTATTGCAGGTCTTTCTTTAGGCCTGAAATGTTATCTAAATTATTAATTAGACATTAATTAACTTATCCAGACCATAATCAACTCTAGATGGCATCGCTAGCCTGCGACCATTAGTGAATTATGAGCCGATTTACTGCATAACTTTCCTTCACGATTTAACGATTAAATGGATAATCGAGACTATGCTGTTTATCATACTGACTTTAGTAATGATGATCGAGCCTAGGCGAAATTTCAATCGCTTAGTTCTCGGTTCATAGTGGATCAAATTGCCTTTACAGTATTTAGTTTTTAACTATTATAATGAGAACTGCCAGCTCTTTATCTAATCTCCCATAATGTATCTTTAAGTATTTTCAACTAAAAGCTTTTGAGACAAGCAACCATTTACTTTTTGTTTTGAAATTAGTTTTTATCAGGGTTCTTAATCCATTTTGGAGCAAACTGGTCAGAAGCCAGTATTCGGTTGATAGAAATTATCGAATATAAATAGCCGGTAAGCTTCTATTCCCTTAAATATAACCAAGAATTTAACAAAAATAGTTTTTGATAATAATTTGTTATGTAACATATCGTATTCTGAATTGACAAATATCTATTATTATAATTACCACAAAAAATTCTTCCCACCTCAAAATATTGAAATCGGAATCAAAATTAAATCTATTGGGCCTAAGTTGTAAGGTTCAACATATGACATGAACTTTTATTATTTATTGACTTCTACTTCAGGTTCTTCGATCCTTGCATTGGGCGAGAAAGTTCATCCAGATTTTCCGGCGTGGTTTTCCCTTGATGCAGGACGGAGGGCCTGACAAGGATAGCTGTCTAGTCGTTCAGATGGTACGAAAAACCGAAGTTCCGTGTACACAATGGCGTGCACGTAAAAGATCCCTTGACAGTTGGAATTTGATATAAGAGTAGGCCATGGTGCCGCTGTCCGGGCAAATTTTCCCCTCATAGCAAACTGTAAGGCGTATGCCCATCTTCAATAGCCCAGTTTGAAGCAGAACAGTAGGACGATAAACACCATTTCATTTAATTTCTATCGTAGAACACAGAACACACACATACACAGATCAATTTATAAAATTTTATCTATATAAACAATATTGATCTGGAATGGCCGTTCCATGTGTTTAAGTTTTTAAGTTTGTTTAGATCCCATGTTACAGAATTACTGTCTGATGGTTCATCTACGATCATAAAAAATGAAAATGTAATCTATAGGCAGACAGAACGGAGGATACTTAGTGAAGTTTGGCACCAGACCAATATACAAGGCTCAACACAGGTGAAGAAAATAAAAACAAAATCTGAAAGAACCTCCTGTTTCTTGAATGCGTTTTTTTATTTTTAAAACATCCTTCACTAAGTTTATTTATAGTCTCAACATATATACAAAGGGGGATATATAATAAAGAAATATTTCAAGAACAGCCAGGTTAACAGTACAAAAATATACAAGCCAACAGGGAGGCTGATGTTCCCCACTAAAATTTGAAAATAAATAGGTGAGTGACACATACTAATTAATTGCACATTTATCTTTTTCAGAAGTATCGAGCAATCAAACTAATTATCTATACTTAGTCTAAGCATAAAATGTTCATTATCGATCTTAGTCAAGGTATTGATGTGACGAAACTATACACAAAGTTTCATTACTCTTACTTAATTAGACCCAAAGTTATCGTGTCCCAAAGCATCTACCAAACATATTACTTATCTCTGCTTACCTTAAGCAGAAAATGTTCATCTTCGAACTCCATCAAGGCATTCACCTAATGAACTCTTACACCCAGATTGAACATTCTACCTCAATTAGAAGGACATAATAAATTGGTTCCGAAGTCTCGACCAATCAAATTGCTTATTGCCCTGCTTACCATGACCTGAAAATGCTCATTATCAAACTTAGTCAAGATATTGATGTAATGAAACATCACTCTCACTTACTTAAAACTAACGTTATCGTGTCCCAAAGCATCAACCAATCAAATTACTTATAACTGCTTACCCTAAGCAGAAAGTGCTCATCTTCGAAATTATCAAGGCATTCACATAATATTGTAATAATCACCTACACCAAGTTTGAACACTCTAGCTCAATAAGAAGGAGAGTTATTGTGTCCCAAAAAGTGTAATGAACAAACAGACAGACCCATTTCAATAGTCTCCTGTTTTTTTCAAAAGGAGGTGTACAATATACCAGTTGGTATGGATGCACTCTTCACAGTGACCTACCACTTACCCCTGGATCTAACTGAGATTTTAAAACACTAACTCCTTTGAATTTTGATCGCCTTAAACTATCTCAATTCTAAATTTAACCATAACCTATTCGAGATTAACACTAGCTCCTTTGAATTTTGAGCACCATTATAAACTATCTCAATTCTAACTTTAACCTACTTAGCTCCTTTGAAGTTTGATATCTATAATTATGTAACCTATCAATTCTAACCCTAACCCTAGGATCTAACCTATTTCTGAGATTAATACAGGCACTTATACACTATGTCAATTCTAATACTAAAATTACTAACTCAAAGATCTAACCGGTGTCTGACAGTAACACTAACCATTCTGAGTTCCACAACCTGTCCTTTATTCTATAACAACATTAACCAATATATATGTCTAATGCTACATGTAAGTCTATCCTTTACTCATTTCTAACAACACAAAATCTATCTTCATTATAATACTAAGTCTAACCTTAATCCATATCTAACAACACTGCAGGCCATATCAAAATTAACCATATCTAACACAGTATCAATAACCAAATTCTAACATTACACTCATCTAATTCTATCATAACCTACTGGTCATTCTAACATTCACCAAAATCTATCACACTATATGTGATCCGCTCCCACAAAACCAGGCGCTTGTCACACAACTTCATTTTGTACGAGGGGCACAAAAGCATAAACTGTATGCCTTCTTGTTGGTGTGAATGCGCCGAACTCAACTCCAGATGATATGACAAATTTAAAAAGAATTCCATTTTTGGAAAGCGTAGGCTGGGGACTATTCATATATATGCTGCCAGTTCTATTTTTATAAAAATGACCAAGAGCCTGGTTTTGTTGGAACAGCTCACATATATCAATAAACAAACCCTTAACCTCTTTTTCGAAGAGAGAGAGAGAGAAATGGGGTTTAACGTCCACTCGACACAAACTAGGTAATTTCGGGAATAACATATGGTTTAATTTTATTTCAATAATTCGATTGCGCGTAGGGGTCTTTAGCAGTGGGAGGATACCAGAGGACCCGGAGAAAACCCACGAGGTTGGACAGGCGACCCTACTCCTTGCCACGTACAACTGTGGATTCAAAACCATGCCAGTCGACTCAATGACAGACTTTATGATACAGCGCGCGCACGCTAACCATTCAGCCATCCAACCACCCCAACCTACTTCGATAAGTAACCCTCTTCAGTAATTAGCAGAGAAATAAACCACCCCATTTCATTACATTTCTTTCATGACTGTCCATATTGTTAGATAAACTTGCATCATCATCCACTTTCAAAAAAATTTGTTTCAAAGTTAAGAATGAGGTGACTGTGCTTTTTTTTGCATAAAAAACAGACAGAATTCCATGCACTGGAGAACAGTCCAGAGTAAAAAAAGGACAATCTCAAAATCTGGTCTCAGACATTTAATTGATTCAAGAAGATTTCACTGAGTGGAATGTCAGATTGGAGTGATTTGATTTCCTCACTCTAAACGAGATTTAATCAAGATTTTTAGCTTTTGTATAACATTAACTGACACACTGTAGATTATACTTGATTTATTTCAATGTTCCTTTTAATTCCACAATAAACCCAAATAAATCAAGTTTACAACAAACTTCTTTCAAAATCTGAACTCGTTTATCTTCATTCAGACATTTGCGATTCAGCATGTAGACGGGATATACATGTTATGGCACTTGCTTGTAGATAGAACACGTATATGATGTAATAGCACTTGGATATAAACAAGACTTATTATGTAGTTATACCTGCTTATCGACCAATATACATCTATGGACAGAACACACATGTAATGATATTTGCCAATGGACAGGGCACACATGTATTGCCTATGGACAGAACACACATGTAATGATATTTGCCAATGGATAGGAATAACATG